CCCCAGCGCACCCTCCTGGCTTGACCAAAGTTGTCCGCCCCTTCCCGGGGGTGGGGGGAGGTGGGATTGTGGCTCCCTCCCTCCTTCCCACGGCTCTGGCCCGTGCTCTCTGCTGTTGGTGGCCACCTCTTTAGGCTGGGCGTGCAGGGTTCGTGGGGTGGTGGCCCCGCTCCAGTTCCAGAACAGGCAGGGGGAAGGGCAAAGGGGGGGGGTGTTTAGTGGTACACAGTGTGGCCCAGGATTTTTGAAGCAGGGAAGGCCCTGAATGGGGTTTTGTGTGTGAACATACTGGGTAGGGCCAACCTCTCTCCCCCCCCCCCAGCGCATGCCAGCATTGCAGTTTTGCTGACCACCCTGGAATGCTGTTCACTCCCCCCCCTGGCCGTTGCCTTGAGGCCCCCAGGCTTGCTCCGCGGATGGAAGGAAGAATTCTGCTCCTTCCCAATTAGGCGCCGAGCCAGTTCAGGAACGCAAGGCCAGCGAATGGCGGCTGGAAAACGGAACGGCCTTCCTGTCCACGGAGGAGGGACGGGGTCAGCGGCCGAGGGGGGCCAAAGAGGTTCCCAAGCCTTGTGCAGGATTGCAGGAACTGGAGGGCGGGTGGGGATCCAGGCCGCCGGATCCAGGCGAGGGGCCAGCGGCAGAACCTAGGGCCGGACTGGGAGGAAGGAAACACCTCGCTCTTGTCACATTCTCTAGCGTTCCCGTTGTGGCGAAGCGAGGAGGTGGAATGCTTTTTTCCTGCCGTTGACATTTCTCGTCCGGCTCCTCCTGCCTTGGTGGCCCCAGTGGAGGCTGCTACCTTAACGTGGTTGGAACGTGGTGCCCCAAAGGGTGGCCTGGAGTTTACTGATGATCCATTGATTGGTTTTCTTTCTGTGCTACCTTCCTCTTGGGTCTACCTTGCCAAGGAGCGGTCTGGATCCCCAGGGTCACCCTCTGGTGTTTCTTCCATTTGGTTAATGAAATCATTAGGCATAAAGCCGTGGGAGAAGGAGATTTGACCAGAGCCTGAGGTGAAGGAGTGCAAGAAGTCCTGCTCGACATCTCACCCCCCACCCCCACCCCTGTGTCCTTTCCGCAGTCCTTTGAGGGAGTGAAGTCCTCTGCCTCCCTAAGGACTAGAAAATTAGGGTCCTTGTTATGTGTCCCTGAAAGAAAACTCCGGTTCCAAAAGGGGAAGAATTCTGGGTTCGTTAACTAACCCAAGGTTTGTGCATTGAGAAGCCAGACCACTCCGTTTTTATTTACTTGTTTTCATATGTTTTCATCGCTGTCTTGGCTATTTTTAATTTGAGTTTTTGAAGAGTCCACTTCAGCAGGAAGTGGAGAGAGATGAGTTTTCAAAGAGGAGACAAGGAAAGGCTCTCAGCTTTTTTTTTTCTTTCTCCCTTCTTGATCAAACAGAGACCTTGTACTTTATCCCAGCTGAAAAGCGGCTGACTCACGAAAACCTCTCCCTCCCTCCCTCCCTCCCCCTCTTTGGTCAAAGCTCAGCACCCCCACACGGGCAATTACAGCATTTCCAATTTGCCCAGAGCCCATTAAACTGCGGTTGAGCGCAATTAAAAGGCCATAACGAGTCCAGCTAACCTGCAGGCTGGCCTGTTGCCTCCCTGGCTTGCTGCTTCTGTCCCGGCGGCTGCTCGGAGGGCGGAAAGCCCCAGAGGTCTGGCAGGAACCGCACTCCCTGCCTGCCTGCCGGCCGGCCGGGAAGGGGGGGGGTGAGGACCCAGAAGAAGGCAGCCGAGGGTGAAGAAGCGAAAGCCGCCTCTCGCCCTTTCCTTCTGAGAGGAGATCCTGGTCGAAAGGCACACAGGTGGAAAAGAGGCGGGCCATCTACCTGTTACCTCCGCCTTTTTAACCTTCACACCACCTTCTAAAAAGAAAGAAAGAAAGAAAGAAAGAAAGAAAGAAATCATCGATAGATAGACAGATATGTGGTTAATTTTCAGATGATCCCAAAGTATCCCCCGCCCCAGTCATCTTTCTTGGGAATGCTTTGGTTTTATTTCCCTTTTCTCTCATCGTTGACCCCGTTTCAAAGACTGGAAGAGGAGCAAAGGACACCCGATGGTGGGGGGTCCCACAGCAACGTAATCATGATGGATCCTGCAAGAAAGGTTCCTTTTGAGGGTGGGATCTTTAAAGGGGTCCTTTTTTAAAAAAAAAATAGCCTTCTACACCCTGTTCAGTCTGGTCCCAATCATCCAGCCCTCTCCAAAAAAAACAGGAAAAAAAAAACAAAAAAACAAAGTCTGAGCAGCTTAGGGTCCCTGGACCCTAAAGGTCTTGGCCAGGCATTAAGCGGGGTTGGTCTGGTTCACAATCTGGACGACGTTATCCAGGAGAGCAAACCAGATGGTGCTCCAAAAAAGCAATCTAACAAACCATCTGGATCACATCCTAAGAAACGGCAAGGTGACCAAAGCTGGAGATAAGACATGCCCGAACCCCAATTTTCCATCTGTTCCCCCTGCCTCAAGCAACATTTTTATTAATGACTTCAATGTGGTGTGTGTGTGTGTGTGTGTGTGTGTACACAACAGAATGAAATTCAACAAGATGGGGGGGATACTCGGCTTGGCAATACTACAAGTGAGAAGGATCTTGGAATTGTTGTAGATCACAAGCTAAATATGAGCCAACAGTGTGACGTGGCAGCAAAAAAGGCTGATCTCGCTCTCTTTCTCTCCTTCTCCTTCCTTCCTTCTTGGCTCACCGACTGGGAATTACTGGGTTAGAATACAAGATATTCTTTTTGGGGCTGGTGGGCTGCAGAATGGATTCTGCCATCTAAGGGGTTTAGCCGATTTCGAATGGATTCCGCTCAGATTTCCAGGAGGAATGGGAAGCCCCACAGGTTGAGAAAGTCATAAAGATCTTCTAATGGAGAAGGAAATAGCTGCGATTTTCAGAGAAGGGTGATGCCCTGCTCGTGTCTCTCCGTGGTTTTGAAACAGATCACCCGCAACCCAGAATTTATCTTTTAAAGCATTTGTAGGAGTTCTTGCTGGTACTACAGATGATCTCGGGTGGCTCTGGTTCATTCAGAGAGAAAGGCTTGTGGGGGGTCCTTCCAGCACCCCCTAAAAATTCTGGAGGGGGGGGTCTTCTTTGGGGCCCAGTCCATGGCTGGCATTTCAGGGAGCGGCAGGTCCCAGCTGGTCATCCTGTATTGTGTGGCGTCTGTTTTACACCAGTGTTTGATTTTTTTTTGCGGTTACTATGTTTGTAAACACGTGTGCATTGAAACAGGCGTGTCGAGTTTCCTGATCTTATCACTGATGCTTTTCATGGTCGGCCACTTTGGTTTTTATTTTTAAGGAAAGCAGGAACAACGTTTTGAAAAGAAAGGTTTGGCGCTTTCCCCGAAAGGGAACACGCTAAAGTTTGGAAGCGGATTCTCATGGCTAGGCTCACGCCCGGAGGAAGGCTGCTTCAGTCGGCACTCGGGATCCCCTCTCCCGTTTCCTTCGCCGTCCCTGGTGGTCTCCATGGTGGGTTCTGCTCCTCGAGTGAGTTTCCATGGCCACGTGGCAATTTGAACCCAGCCCTCTCACATGTCACTGTTTATGGATTCGTACATTCAAGACATTTGAGCGCTGCTTTTCAAGACGAAGCTTCTGGCGGGGGGGGGGGGTTGGTTCACACAGCAGAATGTTTTTGAAAATGCATGTTTTTGTTGAGCACAAATTATGATCAGAACATGGGAGGATGGATAGAAGAAAAAATTAAACCGTAAAGAACAATAGACCCCCCCCCAAATGTCTTAAGTATAAACTCAGATAAAAGACGTCCAGATGTCCAGAGAGAGACAGAGATCCATATGCTGATCTGTAGGGTCCTTAGTCCACCGACTGATCAATATTTGCTCCATGCTGTTCTGATACCAGCCGATCTTGAGGGCATGGATAATCCATTTTTGTTGATTGTCAGTTAATCTCCAAGGGGTGGGGTGGGGGGGTGTATAGCCTTTAAGGGGACACGGGGGTTCACAGAGTTCAAAGGTAGTCAACCCATATGGTGGACAACATCCCGCCCCCCCAACCCCTGGCAAAGAAGTTGCAATGGGACATAGCCAGATTGCTTGCTTCAAGGAGACCTCGGATCTTGGGTAGACTTGCTCGGAAGAGCACCCCGGCATGGAGTCAATGGACCCCAGTTAGCACAAGGAAGGGGGGGGGCAGTGTTTTCTTTAAATCCCTGTTTCCAATTCTGGACGCCTCCTGTATGGATTGTTGCTGTTGTTTTTTTAAAAAATCATTTTTAAAGTTTAAAAAGAAAAACAAATTAAGACCTCCGGGAAGGGAGGGATTGGAGGAAAACGCAGACACACACATATCTGAAAAATGTCCAAACCAGAAATACCTGCCCGGGCGCTTCCTGTTCACCCTTTTTAACAGCAAAGAATGACCATTTGCAGGGCTGGGTGCAAAGATTCTGCCCCTCGCCCTCTCGAAGTGGCTGCCCCTGGTTTAAGGTGAGAGTGGCCCCCCCACTCGAAAAACGCAGGGGCGCCCCTCTTTTCTGTAGGGAACGTTCCCCTGCCATTGCACCGCAGGCCGAGTCAAATTGGATTTGGTGCCGAGAGTGTGAAAATTTGACGGAGTTGCTAATTCACAAAAGAGCCCACCCCGCAGGGCTGCTGTGAAGGCGGTTGGTGACGACCCACCTGCGGGGGGGCCCTTGAGCCAAACGGAGGAGGAAGGATGATGAGGCGGTTGGTGACGACCCACCTGCGGGGGCCCTTGAGCCAAACGTTCGGAGAAGGAAGGACGATGGCGCTGTTGGTTCCCTTACGGTTGCTGAAGGATGATGATGCTTTCATAATTCCCCCCCCCCCATAGTGGACTCCAGTTTAGAATCAGAATTTGAATGCTCTCCTGAGGTTCTTTTTGCAGTTTTGCTAAAAGAGGGTCCAGAGGCGCTGAACGGAGATGCCGGCCTGTCCGTCTCGTGTCCAACTCTTGTGTTTTTCTCTCTCTTCTGCCTTACAGATTTTTCTGCGCAAGTCAATTCCACCTCCTTGAGCTCCCCCACAAGCCGGGGCCCTATGAACGCCCCTCCCCTCCACCCGCCGATGGGCCACGGGGGCCTCGGGGGCTCCATGGGCTCCCCCGGCCAGCTCCACTCGCCCATCAGCACCCTCAGCTCGCCAATCAACGGGATGGGCCCCCCTTTCTCCGTGATCAGCTCCCCGATGGGGACCCACCCCATGTCCGGCCCCTCCGCGCCGGGCCTCGGGTTCGGAGCCGGCAGCCCGCAGGTGAGTGGAGGAGCTTCTGGGGGTGGGGGTGGGTGGGCTGCGGCGCTGGGTCTGGGGGGGAGAAGGTGGGGGGAATTTAGACCTTTTGCTGGGGAAAAGGAGGCGAGGGATAAGTCCTGTGGAGAAGAGGCAAGCCAGAAGTTTGAGAAACGGGCCAGGGCTTGGCCAATGGCTGCTGCTTTATTTATTCCACCTTCTCTCCGGGGCAGCCGCACACCTGCCGGGCCTTTGGCTTTCCTATTAGCCTGATGTACGGCAACAGGGGAGATGGGGTGCTGTTGTGCGAGGGGGAGGAAGTGTCCTCGGTGGCCCAGCCGTGGCCCAGACACCACCATCACCCCCGGAGCTAAGATCCACATCCTGTATGGCTGGGATGTTTGAAACGAGAAACCATGGAAGGGGCCAGCCCGGACAAGCCGCCACATCTCCCCCCCTCCCAAGCACCAGGAGGGAGCCTGGGAGGTGCCTGGGGTTCCCCGGGCGAGCCTCCCGTCTGTACCCGGGCTCCTCCTGGCCCGGTCAGTGACTCCACTCGGCCGCGCAGTTTGCAAAGGGGGCTTCTCTCCACCAACCCCATGTTGTTTCCCCAGCAATCTGGGGAGCCGGGCCGAGAGGGCGGCATCTCCCCAAAGCCGCCCGGTGGGTTTTGGGCCTGAACAGAGCCTTGAACCCTCATGCAGCCTCTCTTTCTCTGCCCTGACTCTCTCGGTGTCCACCTACTGTGGGAGAGGAGGAAGGAGGCTGGCTGGCTGGCTGGCTTCCTTGCTTTCGTGCCACCCTTCCTTGGGGAGACGGAGAGCCAGGCGCTTGGTCTATTTTTAGA